TTACTTTATACATCCTGACTTCCATCAAGTTGTCTGATAGCCATCTAAATGGAATTCATTATTAATCACATTTTCTTCAAAGGTTTACTCAATTTTTAATTTTGCATTTGATATTATTACGCTTATCTTTTATCTTGAATACCTATGGATATCATCTTGAATTTTATTATATGAGAAAAATAATTTCTTATTTAAAGGCTTTTAAGAGACTGTTAAGTAAATCTATTGCAATGCTGGTCAATTTAAACTATGCATATGAGGAAAAAACTACCTTCAGTCAAAATATGCAACATATACCTTAACACATTACATGACATCATGGTTATAGAGTTAAGGTAACTCATGTGGCTATAAATGCTGGAGTATTTTCCTGACACTCTTAAGAACTGAAGAAGCCACTTGGATAAATGTTGAAACGTCTTTACCATTACATACTCCAGTTGATTGTGACCAACTACTGCTACTGCAGGTAAGTATGCCCTCCTACCTTGTAATCTTTTCAATTGGTAATTGAGGTTGCTCATTACATGAAACAACCAGCGGGGAGAGGGGGTGTTTGAGGTTGGAACAGTGGAAACAAGTTCAACCTTTGCTGGATAATTTGAAATCTGTATATAATTTCAGCTGCTTCAATGTAATGATTTATTTTGATATGCATTTGTCAATGAAGGTAATCTGCGTATCCATTTTCCCTTATATGCTCAGTTTGTGCTTCTCATGGGTAATTCCAGGCAGCAAATAAATAAAACCTAAAACAGATTTTCATCATTGGTCTATATCAGAGTCGTAGCTAGCTACTTTTGTGCCCGAGGCAAGAACAGAAAATTGTGCCCCCCAACAGACGTGTGATTCACCTGACGCCGCACGTGTGGCATCATGTGACATCATGCGCCCCGCCTCCAGGATGGCGGCTCGCATGCGCAGAATGCGCTGATGGCCAAATCCAAAATAGCATAAAAATTTGTTTCGTGTGACAAAACTAATCAAAATTTTTTTAGCAGGGTTGCGGAAATTAACGATTAATTCCTCGATTAATCGTTAATTTTCTTGATCGATTAAAATTCTTTTGATCGGTACTCACCTCTCAGCCGGCTTGCGGGTCTTCCGGGAGTTCCGTCGGAGATCCGGTGACATCACGGACAACAACGTCACCGGACTACTCCCCCAAGTGGCTCCGTCGGCTAACGAAGGGAAGGGGGAGGAGTCCAGTGACGTCGATGTCCGTGGCGTCACCGAACTCCTCCCCCCTTCCATTCGTTAAACGACGGAGCTATTGATTTCTTGCAATATCAATTTTATTGGTCACAGTAATGTCCTAGTGCACACACACACACACACACACACACACACACACACACACCTACCTGCCCCTTCAATAGACCTGACTACGTTATTGCAAACTATTATTTAAAAGCAATAAGGTTAGCAATACTTATTATGAGATCTCATCCAATCTTGGGGGGGATTAGTGAATGCAAGAGATGAGAGACAAACATCATATGCCTGATCTCGCACATGCACCACACAACATTAAAGTCATCTTTGTTTTCCCCATAATCTCACAGGTTCTTGCAGTTTAGAAACTAGATCTCCCTGGAAGGCACTGGTGATGTAGCTTTCCCATCGGGAACCGGTAAGACCCTGGCTACATCACCAATGCCTCACTAGACCAGGAGGGGAAATCCTGGTTCAGAATTGGCCTATACACATACAGCACAGCAATGAAGTAATAAAATGAACTAGGATCACACTAAGGCCCCATTCACATGTAGCGACATACCTTTGCAGAGGCCGGGATAGCGCGACTTTCGGGGCGACGATCCAGCGACGGTAGCGCGACCTTCTCCGTCGGGCTCCATAGAAAAAAGCGAAATCGCGCAAAATCCGCCGAAAAAAGGGTCCTGTAGAAGCGACTTGCGACCGCGACGAGCGACGCACGACATGGAGCTAAGACAGCTCCATTGACTATCATTAGTCGGCGACTTCTCGCAATATCGCGCGGCAAAAATGCGCGATATTGCGGCGGAAATCGCGCGATAAGTCGCTACATGTGAATGGGGCCTAATCCAGCACATTATTATTCTGAGTTGCCCCACTCAAGCGGCGCCCATATTGAGTGGGGCATGTGAGATTAATAACGTGCTGGATTAGTGTGATCCTAGTTCATTTTATTACTTCATTGCTGTGCTGTATGTGTATAGGCCAATGTAGTTGGATCTTTATGTTCATTTATAATTAATCTAAATTAATCGATTAATCGATTTTTAAAAATTTCGATTAATCGAGCACGAAAATTTTAATCAGTAACAGCCCAAATTTTTAGTTTCTGTTCATTTTGTCCGAAACACATTTTTAGTCTTTGCACATGTCTAATAATATGTGTGTATGTGTGAGGGTTTTTTTTTTTAATTTTTTATCATTATTTTTTTATTTTTACTCATGGGGGGGCTTCAGGGAAATATTAGGGGTCTAAACAGACCCCCGACATTTCCCTTTTGAAAAAGAAATTGAGGACACACAAATTGAGGACAAGTTTGCTCTGTACAAAGAGGATATTTACTGATCCTCTGCTCCTGAGGGCTGAAGCTAGCGGGGGGCGGAGGTGGGAGCGCTGAATCCAGCGGGGACGTGGTGGAGGAGGGAGCGTTGTCACTTCAGGATGGCCGAACAGTGAGGAGAGAAAGAGCCGCCGGGCCGAGCGGCTATCTCTCCTCACTGTTCAGCCATCCTGGATGACAGCTCCCTCCTCCGCCCCCCCAGCCGGCTGCAGTGCTCCATTTCTCATCGGATCCCCGCTGCCTCTGCCCATACAGGCGGTGAGGGGATCCGATTACAAGCTGGAGCCTGTGCCGTCCCTCTTCTCCCTGTTAAGTTGCAGCTGTGTTGGCCACCTGGCACCCCTGTTGCCATGGCGCCCTGTGTTTACCATGGCAACAGGAGCGAGGGGGCGCAGCCAGGCCGGTCTCACCCGTCACATGGTAGCTACAGCCTTGGTCTATATTGCAGTTATATTAAACATTCATACATATAAGTTTAAAAGGGCATCTATGAATGCAGCAAGTAGCATGTAAATATGTCTGCTGTACTAATAGACTAAGAACCAATGGTGGAAGCACAAGGCTTTGCTCTTAGTGTGTGTCTTTCAGGCTTACCTTCAGGAATGAAAGCAGTAACAAGGCAAGCCACACCTGTCACAAAACAACCCACTGCCCAGGGATATCGGCGTCCAATACGATCCACTGTAACTATTATTATAAATGCGGCAGGAAACTCCACCATAGCAGAGATAAAGAAGTCTAAGTAAATATTTTTACCAGTGGATCCCATGTGCATAATCAGTCCTTGGTAAATTACAGCACATGAAAACCTAAAGACACAGAAAAGAACATTATTAGTCTACAGTAGTAAACGCTAAAACTTTCTTCAATAATGGATCCAGATCAAACAAACATACGTTACCATTACCCAAAAATATTTCTTTAAAGTTTTGCCAAGCAAATACAGTCATCATGTTTCTGAACATTAGGCTCCAACTCTCTAAGCTTCCCTGAACTTCCTGTTCAATACACGATCACAAGGGACAGAGCAGTCTCCAGCAGCTGTCCAACTTCTAGAGAAGAGGTGAGGGAGGAGTAGGCTTTCCCTGCTGTGCCTATATATTTTTGGAGCAGAAGCAGAGACACCAGCACTCCAGATTTGCAAAATATGTCTATTTATTGACGTGCATCATGGTAGAAAACAACGAACGTTTCGGGTTCGCAAAAGATCCCCTTCATCAGGTAAAACATACAGTGTAAGTGCACAAAAACACAGCTGATATATAGCACCAACCCTAATCAGATGTTACGGCTAATCATATTGTTACGGCTGCCACCCGTTGACTACCGCAGCACCCATTTTCTGAAGGGATTTACGCGGTCAGGAGTGCGATGGGACCAAGGACTATCTATATATTTTTGGAGACATGCACAGCATACTAGCACACGCATGGGTGGCTCCATAGGACACTGCAACTGATTCTGTGTGGGAAGCTAGAATTTTTAAACATCAAGGAGCAGCATCCATTGTAAATGATTTAATCAACATTTAAATTGCCTAAAACCTTTTGCCTTTAACGTCACTATAAGTTCATTGCTTTTTGCCTGAGACATATGCTGTATGCCAATTAATGAATTAAAGATTACACACTACCAGCACTCTACCACACATGCGCTGCTATTCTGGACGTATTTACGGATCAGACATTTTCCAAATGCTCGTAGGCTTTGCTACCATTTAGCTAGATGTCCTTCTAGCTTTAAAACACTGTGCAAATCTTCCACCCCAGTGAAACACCTTATCTGCCTTCTTTACCTTGAGCTATCTCAGAACCTAAGCCCCAATGTTGATCTGGCGGTGAAAGCCTGGGAACAGAACTTAAATATCACTGGCACAGAAGATGTTTGTGAGAGCATGAATCTCTTCTGCCTACTGAAAGACTCCATGAATACTAGTTTTAAAAAATGAACTATAAGCTGTACCCCAGAAGTCCATAAAATCTCTCCTGCTATTCCTGACATCTGTTGGCGCTGTGATCAAGACACTGGCACTTCATATTTAGTAGGACTGTCCCCTGATCCATTTGTTCTTGATACAAGTTGATAGTCTTATTGAGAAGATTATTAGGGTGACCTGGTTCCATTTGATCCTGCCAGCTATCTCCTTCAACACTCGGAGACACTCAACACTCGGAGACACCTTTTCTGGCCTACAGACGCTCTCTTACATTCCAATTACTGAATGCAGCAAAATCAGTTATTCCTAGACACTGGAGATCCCCTAATATGCCTAGTATATGTGATTGGTTTAGAAGCATTGACTTCATGGCAGAAAATTCACAGACACAAAACATATAAGGCCCTTGTGCCCCCTGGAGGTGCTGGATCCCCCTCCTAATATGTTGTCTCAGATGGTTTTTCTCACCACCATTACATTGTCTATAGTGTACACTTGAGCGGTATTGTACCTTCTCGCAGGTTCCAAAAGTTGCGCTACACCTGTTTTGCCACTACATCTATTGATGTGTGGTGTGTCATCCAGGGATGCCCATGGCCCATATTTTTTATCTCTTCTATCTTTTCAATGGTCTCTTTAGCATTCCGTTGGCCTCGCCTATCTACCCCTTCTTCTTCCTTCTCTTTCCTTTCTCTACTGCCTTTCTTTCCACCCCCTGACTGATACTAGTTCCTCATCTTTAATCTGGCCATACATTATGTGAATTTCCAGAAGAACTGCCCAAATTTTCACACATACTTTTGGCCACCATTCCTCAATCAGCTGATCAAAGGACCCGGTTGGGAAATCTTCAAACGAACAGAGCCAGCAGCCAATGAGGTGCTGGTGGCCGCTTTAAGAATACAAAAGACACAGCGGGGATTCTTTGATCAGCACTTGTAAGCATTGATGAAGGAAACTGTTCTATTTTTTTTTCCGTTCAGCCTGCAGGTTAAATGAAAATAGAACAGTGTACTTCGCTGTTCCTTCCTGATATATCCAGAGCAGCGAGATGTACTTTGTACCTTAGTTGTTCTTACTTTTTAATATCTGTTCAGATGGCTTTCTGCATCGTTTTTTTATGTTATAATTGCTGCTACACATTTTGTCTCTTTACTATTGTGTCAAATATTACACACCGATCTTCAATTGATACAAAAGTGTTGCATTTCCTTGTGGTTGCAGTGTATTTTGGGGCTGCTTGCAAGCTGGTATGTGCACCCTGTCAGCGGATCTAAGTGGACCGACCTAGAGCAGCACCTAGTAGTCTTATAAAGTCACATACAGTATGTTGTGCCCATTAATGTGCCACGGATTGTGAATCAATCGCTGACTTGTGACTGATTTATTATAATGTTGCATTTAATGTAATGCTTTGTGTTTGTTGTTTTGTCGCCCTATGCAAAGCTGTGGCAGATTTGCCATACTATAACATTATGTTATGATTTGCCCCAGATTTTCCAATTCAGTTAAGTAATTTTCAGATATTTATGTAAAAAATCACTTGCAGCAAATTCACAAAAACAGGCAGACATTTGCAGATTGGTCGCGCATTCACAAAACAAGAAGTGGCACAGCACTCACAAACATTCAGCTGCAAAAAGTAGAATTGTGAATTAATTGCACACATTTGCATGGTGCGGCATTTAGAAATAGAATGCCAACTGCCTTCCACCAATATATCTTATGCATTTCACACTGGCCTTGATATGAACTGTAAAATAATATTCTACACATTTCTTAGAAAGGAGTGCTACTGGACATTTAATTAATTGTAGATTATTCTCAAATAATAAGGAAATTCATAGGCTAAAATAAATCCAGAGAAAAGTGAAGAATGTGAAAGTGAGTCCTGCTACAATTCATATTAAACCTTTCAAGTATCTTATCCAGACTACAATATTTTTTTTTAATCTTGTGTATTGTCCTTAAAATCAAGGAATGAAAGAAACTTTTATATTTCTGTGTGATCTGGTGAATATAGCGTGAACATATATCTGCTTAATAAATTAGTTTTGTGGTTAGGCCTTTTGACTTTGTCAAAGCTTTTGCACCCAACTATACTTGTGGACCTGCTATAAAGCAGCATCACTCGATGCCAAGTTGCAACTGTTAAAGAAAACAAAATCTTGAGGTTAATAAAAAGAGAAATATAAATATGAAATCCTTATATATTATTTCTGTATTGTTTATATAGTATTTTACCTGTAAGGCCATATCTAGAACATGGGGTCTTAATATGGGCACCACATTGTAAAAGGGATTTAGGCGTTTTGGAAAGGGTTCAAAGGAGGCAACAACATTCATAAAAATTAATAATTCATAAAAGGTTTAAAAAGACTAGAAAAAGTTCAGTGTGCAAAAAAAGATGATTTAGAGTTCACAAACATGTCAGTATAAAGAATTGTCAAACTGCATTTTTTTCCCAAGTATTATACAAAGGGATATCAGATACATGTAGAAGAAATTATGTTTTACCATCAATATAGATAAGAGTGCTTTACAGTATGAGTGGTTAAGCTGTGGAATGTTTGATCACATGAAAACTAAATGGCAAATTGTATCATGGAAACTAAAAAGGATTATTTTCTTGATGCTGATAACATCCAAAGTTATGGCTACAATAGGTTGTTAGAGAAATATTTTGAGCCAGCTGCCTTTTGGGGTCAGGAAGTATTTTCTGTTTTTTCCTTGTGTGGCAAAATTTTACGCAGTTGCCTGTGGATTATTTTTTCCTTCCACCGGACCAAAGCTGCATCAATTATGAGAAGTTTCATCTGCTGGACATCAGCTTGTTTTTAATCTTATGCATGGAAAATAACAAAAAGGTTTATTTCTACTGCAAAATAATTCTGTAGGTATTGTGGCAGTGCGTGGCAATGCCACTATGTAGTTTGGCAAAATGGTCACCCAGGACTCTCAGCCAGTTCCAGGACATAAGTACTTTTACCAGTAAAGAGCCGGCTTTACAATTCTTTCTGGGTTTTCTAAATTATAACTGGGACCCTGGAACTGGGAGATTCCTAGGAGAACTGGGAGGGATGACCTCCCCATTCCTGGGTCCAGGCTTTAGTGGTGACCACCAGCACCAGATTGTTCACCTGTGCACAGCCGTTATGAAAAGGATGCTGGTTCATGTTCAGGGTTCCAGCTGGAGGACAAATGAGGTGTCTGTCCAGGAGTCAGGAGGACTCCATCCTGGAGCCAGCCTGTGTGGCAAGTCTGCTGGATGCAGCCTGTGTGGCAAGTGCGCTGGATGAAGCCTGTGTGGTAAGTGCGCTGGATGCAGCCTGGGTGGGAGAGGTTTAAAGTAATAACCTGAAGTCGGTGAGACTTTTAAAAAAATGTATTTTGCTTAAGGACAAAGCTAATGTTGTGTTCTTATGTTGGAGAAACCCCTGTGAGGGAAAACTTGTGTGAACCTTTAAATAAAAGTGGGTGGGAAGCCCTAAAAAGAAGATGTTTGCGTCCTTAATGCGCTACCATTTGAACCTCTCACAATATGTACAAATCTATTTTACAGATAAATGTATCATACCAGATGTACATTAGAATGAAGGTGTGTTTTCTTATCTGAGGAGTTCTGACCAGGTCTTTAAAAGACGGAACTTGTTTATAACCAGTGTCTTCATTTCCAGTTAGACTCTGTAATTAAAAGGGTAAACTTACATAAATAGAATAAATATCTGTGTATTACAATGGAGTAGTTTAAACGTATGCTATGCGGTTATGATAAGCCAGCTTGTTATCACTCATTTTTGTTTTCGTTGGAGCTTATAAATGTAGGATGTAAGCAAGGCTCTGCAACCTATGGAATCTTTAAAGTGGACCTTTACCCAGATCTTTAAAATAACAACAAACACACCTTTAGAAATACTTCTAGATAATTGTAGGCTTTGTATTCTTTGCATACCTTATTTCTCTTTTTTTTCCCAGTCTTCTGACAGTGGTCATCTTTATTGACGTTCTTGCAGCATGTGAAAATTGCAACATTTTGGAATCATGCAGGGTTCCAAAACATTGCCTGACAAAGGAACCCGTTTTGCCTGATGAAGGAATCCTGCGTGGTTCTGAAATGTTGCAGTTTTCACATTATGCTACAAGAATGTCAAAAAATATGACATTTTTAAGCTAAATGTGCGGATAACAATTTTTAAGGTGTGCGGACAACATATTTCACTATTTTGGATACATCAGACCCTTCAATATAGAAAGGCGTTTTTTGGGGGTTTTTTTTTAGGAAAGTCGACAAATATTGGGAGAAATTAAGGGGCAGTTAGGCAACTATATCAATATATAAAGTGCAGCACTATGTGATCCCTAAGGAAAGTGCTAAGTGCTTAATCAATAACACAAATTGTAAAAAAAACAGATACATATCATACAATCCTCACAAATACATGAGATTAAAATAATAGTCTTTTATGATGGGAACGTGATCTTAACAAAATATCAGCCGACCTCCAAATATAAAGCAGCCCTCCTCCCTAGTCTGACACCATCAGATAACGGCCAATCATAAAAAGCTAGCCAACAGAATACAAATCATTGAGTAATATGTGTGATATATGTCAGGTCCAGTGTGCCCAAGCCATAATTAAGCCCCACCCCTTTCCATTGTTAAGCCCAGCCACCCATAATTTATGTATCATTTGATAAAACTTCAGTGAGCAATAGAGACTCTGGCATTTAACAGTTACATAATATGGAGCAGAGCTTAGCACCATGTGGCAAGCTTAAAGAGGAAGTCCAGGCAAACTTTTTTAATTAAAATTGTGCTGTGTAACAAAAAATTAACTCTTATGAGGTGTAAACCACCTCCAGGATGGCTGTCGTTTCCAGCGGGCTGAAAGTATAGCAAGAGCTATACTATCTGACATCAGTGAGGCTGTAAATTTGCCTGGAGTTCTGTTCTAAATTGTATATGTCTCTTCATAAGGACAATAAAAAAACATATCATCACCTTTAAAGTAACCGGTATAGGTTTCTTATTCTTCTTTGCAATATGCTTAATAATTTCATTAGCCTTATCCTTCTGGTTTTGGGATAGGAGCCATCGAGGTGATTCTGGAACACACCTGTAATGAATAAACTTTAATATGTCACGCTAGCAACTGTGTAGCAGAGATCTGTAGTAGATACATATCTCTCTGTTTGTCTGGAATGGCAGTTTATAGCTAGATACAGAATTGCTGCAGGAGCTGACTAAAGTACTTAATTAGACAGCTACAAATTGCTGGTTTGCCATCATCATCAGAAGCTGCATTGGATAGGAGGATTAATTACTAAAGTTGGCTGAAATGTCTTCAGAAACCACAATATATGGGTTGATCTCCTGTGCCCCCTGCTGCACTCATGGTCTTCTCCCACCAATTTATACATCACTACTGGGTCTTGTAGTAATGCGGGTGGTTGGTGGGAAGGACCATTGTGTGCAAGGGGTTCACAGGAGTTTGACACTCCCAGAAGTGTGGGTTTCTGAAGTAACTTCATTAGACAATTGCTCTTCAATCGAGTTTTGTCAAGGAGGACAAGCAGTGGGAGAGGAAAGTGTTTACAATAATTTTTGCATGTACCTCTTGTAATCTAACTTTTATTTTGTTTGGCCTTGTCACATAATTAGACAAGTACATACCTCTAAAGAAGATAACAGATGCTTTCTTCTCTTGCATCACTTAAAGCTACTCTGAAGTAATGGTCCCCCTAAGTCCACTGGAAAACCAATACTTTCGGGGGTGTTAATCTCTGTGGTCACCCACAGCTCTCACTGGTTCCTCCTGCTGTCCTCCAGGTCACTGCAGAAGATAGTAGTGATGTGGAAGCACCACTGAGAGCTGTAGAGGATCAAAAATGTGTTCAAGGCCTTACAGTTAATCTTCTCTAAACGGGAGACATAACCGAAGTAGAAAATCCTTTCCCCTGCCAGCATTCTGTAGAGAAGGGCCTTTACTCTTTGTGAGGAAGCAGTGAACTCTCTGCAGAGGTCCAACACCCCCTTCCCCTGCTGAGTCATCATCATGAGCTTGACTGTTGACTGTTGAATAGAGCAAGGGCCCTTCTCATGACATGAGACAGGCGTTTCTATTCCAAATGTTGCTGCTTTCTAAAGAACACTAAGTGTAAGACTTTGCACGCCTTTTTTTTATGCCTGGAAGGTTTTTAGCTGATTTAACTCTTTTGCTGCTGGAGCTATTTTTTTTCCTTTCATTTTGCACACACTTTAAAAATACCATATATTTTCTGAAAGCAGAGACCCTGTAGAATGGAACGGTGGAACTTCAATGTTGAAAGTTAAGTTGAATGTGAACCTGACATGGCTACAGTACAGCCAGTGCCTGTTAATCTGAAAATTGATCCCTGTGGAGCTCCTTGGATTCTAGGACTGGTCTATGCCCAATTGTTTTCCAAGCAGCGATCCCTTCTTGTGGCTAAGCACCCCCCCCACTTCACCTTCTCCCTTCCCATTATTCATCTCCAACTCCAATGAGTCCTACAGGGACACAGATAACTGACACAAGTTCCTCACACATCACAATGTGCCTTTACTTCAACATTTGGTGTTAGTCTAGGCAATTTTAAGCCAGGTCAGATTCACTGTAATTTAAGAGGCTTACTCAATTTACTTTGCATATTAATGTGCTATGTTTCATATTTGATATAAGCTGTTTTTTTAAGATATATCATGGCAGAAGTTTACCAGTAATATGTCAGGAACACAAAATTTGGCAAAGTGACCGCCAGCTGAAGCCATCTCCAGTTAGGAACGACATAAGCCACTCCTGCAAGTGCCAGAAGTCCAACTGTAAATGCAACTTGGTATACAATTCCGACAGTTCTTCTGTGGTCCAAGCCAACAAACTCTGCAACTAGAATGTGGTAAGAATGGTAAGAATGATCTGAAATGCTGCATTTTTAGTATTGCATCTTACAATGTAATTATTATTTTTAACTATTTGTAGATCAAGAATGTTTTAGATTTTCCCTGTTTGACTTCAGTTAAAGCGGAAGTACAGCATTACTTTAAAAAAAAGTAGAGGGGGGGCTGGAGCTTTTAGTCATAATGTGCTAGTTTGCAAAGCATATTAGTACATTATGGTAGCTTACCTGCTCCATCACTGGCGCTTCTATCTTCGGTTTGATCTTCCATGTTTCGAGTCTTTGGCTGCTTGATTGACTGGACCCCAATGATGTAACCCCCATGCATGCACAGAGTAGTTACTTCATCTCGGCATACCAGGTGTAGTGCATGTGTGGCTCAGTATACAGAACAAAAATGGTGAATGGCAGCAAGAAGTTTTTATGACACTTTCTTCTTACAGTCTCTTCTGTCATAGACAGTCTGTTCATCAACAAGGTTTTCTCTTCCAACCTTGTTCTAATAGTATGGGGAGGGCCTTTTTTTTGTTTGAGCATAACTGTGCCACTGTGTACAAAGCAGGGTCCATAAAAACAGGTTTAATAAGTAGTTTGGTTGGGAGGAACTTAAGTGATCTGCACATAGCCTGACCTCAACCCTATTGAAAACATTTGGGATGAATTAGAGCACAGTTTGAGAGTCAGGTCTTCTCTGCAAGAAGGGTATTCACAACCAAGTTTAGGTTCATAATATTTAGAATTTCCTGTATGTCAATTTGGCACTATGCACATGAAATACTTTTTAACCTGTCCCACTGTATTTAGATTCCTGCATGCAACTTGATGTTATAGTTCAAAAAATAGGCTTATGAATTAATACTTGAGACATAATTAGGCCCTGGCTTCCTTTTATTTACAGCATTATGTCTGCTACAAAACAGCAGATCTGTATTTAAATGTTCTAACTTACCCAAAATATATCCTGACAACCAACTGCCTTTGCTGACTAAGCCCTGAATAAAGCGGAAGGTAACCAGCCATGGATAAGTTGGAGCAAATGCCACAAGGACACCAAAAATAGCAGTGATGAGGAGAGAAATTAAAAGGCATGGCTTGCGACCAAATCTGGAGACACAGATTAGAGTTATCACAGTTATTACAGTTTTCTAGAGCACAGAAAAAAACCAGAAACAGTTACAGTAAGACTTGCAATATAAAAGAGATTGATAATGTTCACAGTACACCTAACAGACATCTTGCACATAGACCCCTACCTGTCTGCAATGTATCCGATAAACAGAGAGCCAAGAAAGAATCCAACATTCACAATTGACTGGAAAAGGTCCAACTTCCATGAGTCCTCACACACAAGATTAAACTAAATAAAGGAACGTTTTGGTTAGCTTTATTGCAGTTCATGGCTTATTGATCTCTAATAGCAGTTGGGCTAATAATTATAATATTATTTGTGATTTGTACCCTACCCATTACACTGGGATGGCATTGGCTGCTATAAGATGCCCACTGGAACTGTCTAATTAAATGTGATGTTTTCCTGATGACCCGTAAAAACTAGTTCGAATTTTATTTTATTTTTTCCACTGCAGCTTAACACATGAAAAGGTGAATCTGACTGGTTGACAGCACAGAGAGATTTAAGTGCTGGAATTTCCTGCATCAAACGCACATTGGTAAGCTGGATCTGACTTATCTGCTAGCCTTTTATACTTTGGAACTGTACAGAAAATACTCCCACTAGAGCGCCCGTCTTTAACCCTCTGCCCTAGTTACCAATTTGTTTGGCCTTAGGGTAAGTAAGGTTGATATTACTTTTTCCATACTAGTTTCTCTATAAATTCATAGAAGCCATTCAGGAGTTGACAACCTGGTTTGACCTGAATGTGGATGAGGTTGCAATGGCTGAGGGGCAGGGCTTGAAATTCCACCATACAGATTGTATAACAGTGCATTCCTATCTTCAGGCTTTTTTGTATTCAAGTAAAATAAAAATAAGGAGAGAAGAGAGAGAGAGAGATATCTTCTACTGAGTGCCCTGGGTCTCCTTTGATATATGAGATGATAATTCTATGCATTTTTCAGTTTTGGAACAATGTACAATTTAGCTAATTTTTAATTAGTCTTTTATTTTTTTGTCATCACATTGTGACATTACAGTTTTTAGACCAATTCATTTGTGTTCCGTTAAAAAAATTATACTAGTCTTAGATTGGATCCAAAGTGGTCATCATAGTATGCTACCAATTCCCTCAACATTTTATTCTGTGGGCCCAGAGGTCGCCCTAGTCAATAGAAAACCCCCGGTCACTTTCTATGCAACCACCCACAACCCCACCTGTCCAGCTGCTCATCACACCTACAGTAACACCTAAGACTCCGCCCACTAGCGGCGGCTGAAAAGAGCAAGATTTGAGCCCTGTCATGACATCATTGGGTTGCAAAAAGGAGAGAATAGGAAGATAGGAGGCACAGAAGTAAAAAATAAAAATAAACTTTTATAATACTTCCAAGGGATAGAAGAGAGAGTATTATAAGTAATTAATACTTTGTATGGAATTCACCTTTAATCATGTCTGAAGATCCCAAAGGTTGCTCTTAGTATGGAAAATGTCTAGTAATTCAATATTCCCATCATATGCCAAATTACATAATACTGATAGGTAGTTATGGAAGTACAGTATGTGCTTTATGCAGATACTTTAACAAATTATAATATATTTGCAACACTTGACTGCAGCAATGATTTCTATAGCAATCTTGACAGTGCCTCCCCTGCAGGACAGCATTGACACATGGCTTGGCGATTGATTTTTTTACAAGCACAAGCTTGCGTGTTCTAAAAAATATTTTTCATAAATGTTACTATTCCATATAAACCTCTTACCTCTGTTACTATAGATGATCCTGTAGTATCATACACCCAACCATTAGTGCAGCTGGTAACAGGCATGTTGTTACTATTATATGAGGTTAGATTCCTGATTGGGTCTGTGCAAGTGAGAGATGTCCAGTTCCAGTCTGCGTCATGCTGAAAACACTGGCTAAAGTATAAGGAATCTGCAGAGTTATCTGGAAGGAGAAACGTGTAATTAATTGCCTCTTCAACGCTCCAACCGCATGTTCTACTTAATTCCGCAGCTGCAGGAATATTACATCTGAAGTCAGGTACAAATCCTAGAAATACAATGCCCACATATATTGGGCTGAACACAGCCGAGATAAAACACATAATAAAAAACAACTGCTTCTGAAACAAGCCAAACTGTCCAATTTCCTCCAAAACATCATCAAAAGTGGCCATGTTTTCCAATCTTATCCTCAGATGTCTGATGCAGACTGTTGTTTTGTACCCGATATATAAAAAAAAAAAAAAGAGCTGTTTTAAAACAAGTTGTTCAAAGTGCTCTAAATAGGAAATCGCACAGCAAACTGCCAGCTCTTTGTGCTCAATAGGTAGTCTAGCCTCTCGCACAGTGCACTTCGGATTACAAGCTAAACTAGCTGAACCTGCTGGAAGATACTTAACCAAATCACACTATGTTCAATTTTATAAGTCACTAAGAACCCTGAATATTTAATAGGTCTGCATTTGATAAAGCAACTGTTCTTCAAATCCATACTAGAAAAAAGCAAAATAGATTTTATTTAAAGGAGAACTATTGGGAGAGTAAAATATACTCTTCCCTATAGTTTGAAGCGACTCTATAGCTCGGGAACTGAATGATCAAATACATCTGATCGCTCAGCTCAGATCTTCCCCCTGCAGAGAACGGTGACTGTCAATTACCGTTCCCTGCGGGGATTTCCCTCTCCCCTCTCTGTTCCACCAGCGCTCATTGGAGGGACAGACAGGGGATGGGGCAGGCACAGCTGGCTCTGGCTCTAGAGAGGCAGAGCCAGCTGTCAATCAGGTTGCAGTACGGCCCTGCACTGTCACCGTAGTGCGGACAGTAGCCAAGCAAAAAAATTATTTAAATCCTAAATCCTTTTTTCTTGTTTTGGATTGAGTAGAGAAGGGTTAGAACTTCTGTTGGTTTTTTTTTTTTGTTAAGATATTTGTGCTTTTTTCCCAAAATAATACATCAACGCCAAACCCAACATACGTTAGTCGGATCAGCCATAATAACAGAATAAACCATAGTAAAAAAGAAAGACATAAACTTCCTCCACCACCAGTTTTCAATTTCGCACGATGCTTAAAGCAGAGTAACATATCAGAAATATTTCTTAACCCGGCCGGTATCTTTTAAGTTTTAGACATCTCCACATCAAATGTAGAAGATTACCCTGATGTTGTTTGCATCTTGGACAACAGCAATCAGTGCATAGTCCAATTTTATGCAGGAACTGTGGAGTATCATATACTCTGTGCAAAATAAACAGCTGGGTCAATCTGTGTGAGGGGGGTAGAGAGACATACTGAACTGCTTTGAGTATTTCCTTTCAAATACCTTCTGAATAGTAAATCATTTAAACGGGGTTATATAGATTGATGAAGTAAGGTTTTGTGCGGATAATGCATGCCTTAAATGCAAATATTGAATTAACATTTTGCGATCTAACCTATATTCAATACTTACCGTATTTTGCGGTCTATAAGACGCTCCGGACGATAGGACGCATGGCTTCTGTGACAGAAATTCTATGACAGAAATTCTGTCACAGAAGCTGCAGTTAGTGACTGCTGAGACAGGTGGCGCTGTCTCAGTAATCACACAGAGCAGACGAAGAACGTCGTTCTTCGTCTGCTCAATGGGCTCTATGGTGAGCTCCTATGGCGGATCGTGACGGGTCACGCAGAGGAACGGGGGACCCAGAAAACCTTGGCGGGGGGCGGACACTATCGCCGATGCCGCCGCCGCTTGATTTAATACAAGGGATCTACTTAGATCGCTTGTGTTAAACGAACAGCGGCTCCCACTGTACATTCAGCTCTGCTTGTCAGGAGCAGGGCTGAATGTACAAAAAGAAACTACTCGCCCGGCGCCCGAAATTGCATGTCCCGGGTGTCGGGCGATAGGTATTCGCTCCATAAGACGCAGGCACATTTCCCCCCTCCTTTTGGGGGAAAAAAAGTGCGTCTTATGGAGCGAAAAATACGGTAATTGATCCATAGTTTTTAAAACTCTTTCTGAGTATAGCTGTGATAAAGTATCTATTCCCACATTTTCCCAGGAACAAAAACCCTGCAGTTTAGCTACTTCTGGCAACTGACCATTCCCCCATGGGGGGATTGTATTTAGTATAGCCCTCTATATCTAGAATTTTCTTTATTGTGGCACTTTTTTTTTTTAGAAAAATCATAGAAGCAGCTCCCAACCTTTCTCCATGTACAGGTGAAACTCGAATAATTAGAATATCGTGCAAAGTTCATTTATTTCACTAATGCAACTTAAAAGGTGAAACTAATATATGAGATAGACTCATTCCATGCAAAGCAAGATAATTCAAGCCGTGATTTGTCATAATTGTGATGATTATGGCTTACAGCTCATGAAAACCCCAAGAACCCCAAATCCACAACCTCAAAAAAGTAGATTATTACATGCAATCAATAAAACAAGGATTGTACATAGAACAATATCGGACCTCTGAAAAGTACAAGCATGCATATGTACTCAGTACTTGGTTTGGGCCCCTTTTGCAGCACTTACTGCAATTACCTTTGCACCATATTCTAATTATTTGAGTTTCACCTGTATATCGTGGTTTCCAGCACCCATATGGGGTCCAGTTCCCTAAAGAAGGACGCCACTATCATATATGATTGGCAGGGCCGGTGCTAGGATTTTTGCCTATACAGGCAAAGTTGCATTTTTCATACAAGTACTTGTCAAAATGCCCTGTTTTTTCCGCCCTCACCCTGCAGTGCCCTCAGGCGGCCGCTTGCCTTGCGGTAGCGCCGGGCCTGATGATGGATTTAAAGTTTCCAGCCTCTCCCACTCAGCCAAATGCTGTAACTGAGAAGCTAGAAAATATAACCACGGGTTCAGTACCACAAAGTCCCCTTGGTCTTTAGGATACTGCGGATCCTTGAGTTTCTCTTCTTCCAAATTAAATCTCTAAATATAGAATTTATTTGTTTAAAGATCTTAGTTGGAACCCAACATGGAGAGTTATGCAAAAACTATAAAAGTTGAGGCATCCAAATCATCTTCAATAAACTAATACGACCAGCAACTGACAATGGTATATGCACCAGCTCTTATTTTAATCTTTAAAATGCTGCAGTAAAGGTTTAACATTCAAATCTCTAAATTCTGTAATCCGTGCTGATATATCGTTACTCCCAGGTATTTGAAGGAAGACACAACCATTAGTGGTATACTATACCTATCGATGCTATCTGGCAGGAGGTCTACTGGCAGTAATATGGGTTTATCCCAATTGATGCATTAACTAGAGTAGTTATCACATTTAGTGATTATTGCAATTGTTGCTGATAAAGATGAGGCCATGTCAGACAAAAATAACAGCATATCGTCCAACACAGCCAAGATAAAATTATCCTCCAGACATAATGGGGCATCTAGAGCGGCTCTATCATCTCCTGTTTTTTATTGCTATCTGTGTCTTCTTTAAGGAGATTCACCCTCTCCATTTGTCCTAGTGACAATTGTCATTGGAACAGAAAGTAAGAGAAAATTTGTACATGCAATATGTATGAAGAAAACATTGCATTCCATGTAATTCTAAGACAGAGACATCAAAATTTAACTGCAATAGTAAATACATCTACATGTTTAAATGGCGCAGAAGAAGATGCCTCGGGGCCTTTATATGCAGAAGAGCACATTCTTAGAAATATATGCAGGAAAAGTGTATTTTGACCTTTGATCAATATGGACGCTATTTAAATTGTTAGCTTTGCACTAAAATAAATGCATATGTGCACACTACCGTCCTCATTCATTTATGTGGCTTGACTTGGCATTTTATTCCATAGACTGCCTACTTCATAAAAGATCTAGTTGGTTTATAGGGACTTTCAGACCAAAAATTAATTCCAAGAGCGACTGCACAGATGCTTTATTGAGATTAAATAATTAAAAAGAGAAAAACTAAACTAAAAGAGTAGTGGGAAAGGGTAATGGGTAGTATGAAGTTAAATATTTTCAAAACATAAACAAATAAAAAAGTAAAAGGTTAAGTGGGAAATGAACATTCATTTAACAAGAAGGGAACATTGATGAATTGTTTTAATGATATACACTTACCTTTTGATTAGCCTCAGTAATCCCTGGCCCATGATTTCCAGCCTATGCCTTGGTCATCCTGTGTATCATAAACTCACCTCTACAGGTCCAACACTTAGTGCAGATGTAATTGTTGCACAGACCGTAGCAGACCTGGACTGGCAATATGGCAAATCTAGCAATTCCAGCCAGAATTAGTGAAGCCAGTTTAAAGAAACGGCTATTTACTGAAGCCTATACTTAACTGCAATGTAAGGAGAAGGCAAAGTCAGGGATATCTGACTCCACTGGATGCACCAATTTTTCCGGCTATTTAGAATGCAAGGAAAAAGGACAAATTCTAAAAACAAATGGTAAAAAAATAGGAGTATAATGAAATTGATAACTAAACAATATCAATACCTTAATGAATCATTAAGAAATAAAGAGTCATTAATTTCCCATCATTGGTGTGTCTCTACAGCCTCTGTTGAACTAAAAGTGCTATTATCTATGTCATTCATAACAATAGTTTACTGGTACATTTTCAAATCAGGATAATTTTCTTTATTTACCATTAAAGTAATCATTTTATCTCACGTCCAGGCTGTTGAACACAGTATATCTGGTAAATCATTTGGGTGACTCCTTAACAAAAAATAGCATTTTAGCCTTATAAATCTGGAGATTTTTACAGCAAAAATACTCAAAAATACTATTTTCTTTCCCATCCATTGAAGGACACAGTCTTTCACCTTTGGGACATCTAAAAGCAGTCCAACTAAGGGGTGGCCATAAAAGAAAACATACACAAACAGGCAGAATTGGGGAGTGACTGTAGCTCAAAGAGCCATAGATCAGGGTGTACTTAACCAGTGATCCCTATACCTTGAGACAAACCTGCCCATTTTGTTTATCAACCTAGAGGCCAGGAGGTCCACATCTGGTGTTCCCAACTTATAACTCAGATCCTCTAACATCTCCGGGTGTACAGACCACTCCCCTGGGAATAGATGCTGCTGGCGGAGGAAGTCTGCCTGCCAATTATCTACACCTGTGATGTAAACTGCGGACAAGGCTAGAAAGAGAAGTTCCACCTAGGACAGGATCTGTTCCAGCTCTCTTGAAGCGGCGAGACTTCTGATTCTTTCCTGATTATCATATGCCACTGCTGTGGTGGTGTCGGACTG